CTCCCCTCCTTGCACCCCCCGTCCTCGTCCGACCCATCTGGAGCCCTGGGACGGCATGGACGCAGTTACAGCGCATCGCTGGCCCCTTCGGCCGTCTGTTCGCCCTTGAAAAAAACAACTTCTCGACCGGGCCAAGCACGCGGCGCCGGGCAACCAACGCTGTGGGTCCAACGGGCCTAACCTACACCCGCCGCAGGCAGCCGCCGAACTCGTCGGAACGTCACGCCAGTGCTGGACGTGGTCCGCAAGGAGGGCCACCCGACGGGCCTGCCGCATCCCGCGCCTGCAGGGCTTTCCAGCTCAAACGCACTCGCCTGGGCGGGCGGCACGGGCTCCCGGATGGGCTCGCTGCTCATTTCAAAGGTCGGCGAGAGGAATCATCCCGACCGGATCATGAGACGTTATTCGTGTTGCCCTCCCCGAAAGGTGTCGGCACGGTCGTGAGCGTCAACAGACGCCAACTTTGTCGTCGCATTCAGCTCGTCGAGAACCGGACGAGACCTTCTGCATGACAACGAAGCCTTGTACTTCATCTGCTTCCGCACGTTGAAAACTGACGAACCCCACTTACGGCGACTTGAACCACCCTGGTCTCCCTGACTATGTCCGGGTCACCAACCCTGCCTGCGCTTTCCCTGGCCAGCTAAACGCCGACCGTCTGAGGAAGTTTTGGCCGTGAAACATGGTTGCCTTTCCCCAGGTGCACTTCTTCGTGCCGGGCTTCGCCCCGCTGACGGCGCGGTGGCGGCCAGCAGTACTCGCCGTTGACGTGCTGAGCTCATGCAGCAGATGTTTTCGACGACCACAAGAACATGATGGCGGCGTGGACCCCGCCACGGGCGCTACCTCACAGTCGCCGCGGTGTTCAGGGGCGCATGTGATGAAGAAGTGACGAGCAAGGTGATGAATATGCCAGATACAGGAACAGTAGCTAATCCGCAACCAAGCGTCCCCAAATAGATGCCATGAGGCACGCTGGCTAATACGTTACACTAGCAAACTAAAAACGCAATTGTTAGTTTAAGTGTAATCATTACCCGTATGTATTTTTTACATCGTACCCGATGCACGTTTTTTAGTAAGAAACTTTTGTAGGTGCTACGATGTGAAAAAATAAATTACCTTTAATAGACATAACCTAATAAACGAGTAAAAATTAGACCATATTTACTTAGTTGCCAAAGTACATATATTTGAGTAATTCCTACAAGTTTGTTAATACATTGATCCCGAATGTCTTAGGACGTGACTACTACAGAGGAAGTTAAAACAGCCCCTGCTACGGAAGATAAGCACGGCGGATGTCTGCAGAGACCTACAAGCGACATAATCACTTCTGCAAAGGTATAGACAATATACTACTGTAAATTACTTGCCACAGACTACAGCTCAAAATCCGTAATTCCAAATTTTCTTGATAAATGCTCGAAAAAAACTACACGTAGTTTTAGTCGCTTAAGAAAAAGTGGTTCTAACATCATATATTGATTTCGAATGTTATCGAATAGTGTAGTATCAGAAGTTTCAAATCGGTTTCTTAATAACAAGTTAATAATAAACAATAAAAGCATTTCAATGCAGTTTTACATGTCATATAAGCTGTGTACTTGAAAATAAACGGTAAGCAATTGATGCAAGAATTTTGGGCTCTTAATTAAATCCAACCGCAAATGGAACATCCATTAAATGAATTGAACACACAAATTAAGTTCATTATGCTACGCGTCCAGAACTCTTTAAATAGTCACCCTTCATTCTATTTGTTGTATTTCACAGAATTTTTTGTCAGATGTAGATTAGTATTCTGGGGGGAAACCCTTTCTAAAGCTCCCAGATTTCAATTACAGTAAAGAATTGTTCGAATGAGCAAATGCCTCCTACGTGATTCTTATAAGCTTGTGTATTAAGATAGGAATTCAACCATTGCGTTGCCTTTTGTATTGATGATTCAATGTTTTTGTGAATTCTGACTTTGCTAAAAATGTTGCAACTCTTGAATGATATAGATTTGTAAAACTATAACCCTGGACTTCGTTGCTATAATCAACAGGTGCCAGTATCAATAGCGCACTATTTTTTAAAGACATATTGTCAGAGGACATTAAACGATTAAAATGGATTCAAAAGTTTAAGTGCCTTATTAAATATTTTCTGCCACAACTTTTTCTAGAAAAGTAAACTACATCGAGCATCAAAATTAAATATATTGATTTATATTAATGTAATATTTATATTAATGTAATATAATGTAATATAATGTAAGATTTATGTAATATTGATTTTAATAATGAACTTTATTTTTTGTTTTGGATTAATACTTCTAAAAGAGTAAATAAACCTTTAAAAATTATGGTACACCTTCAGTCAATGATCCCCATCTCGATCAGGTGTTGGTTTCCCTGATCCTTTCAGCGAATGCCAAGATGAACCCGTTGTGTGGCCTCTGGACGTAAATTCAAATTTCATACACTATTTTTGCACACTTTTATACATTTCAATGGAGAATGTTTATTTAAACTATAGTTCTCAATGTACTCGCGGCAGGAACTCGATTGATTGCTTCACAACAGCCACAATGAGGCTTAATAGCGAAACTTTTAGAACAGATTTGCCTTTCCTAATAGTTTTAGTACACGAGAGAATATTTTCTTATTGTTACCAAACACGACAGTTTCCACCTGTATTCATAACTAAACTTCTGTAAGAGGTTAGGTTAAGGATTCCAGAATTACGTGAAAAGTGCCCAGGATACTGTACTCTTTGGTCAGTTCTTTAATTGCTATGACGATTAATTAATAAACAATAAATAAATATTAAATGAGAATTATAAAATTTTCTCAGGGTCTGAACCGTGAAAAGTTACTCTTCTAATTTCACTATTTTTTCTTAGGTACAACGATAATGAACTTGACATTATTTTCAAGAAGTTTATCAATATCTTAAAAGCATTTACTCAAGTCAAGTAATTATTTGCACATTACTTTGAGTATACTCCAATCCATGTCCTGTAAGCAAGTTAGTTTTTCAGTTGCGTGGCTCGTGGCAAGTGATGGCTGGATATTCCCGAGAGTTTGTGACGAGCCCTTTCTGCCCGGAACTCTCCTTCGACTTTGACCCTGACCACCCAAACACCATAACTATATCTTGGTCGGAAGCGAAAGCATTTGAAAACGTCATACCTCACGGAGAGATGACCTTGGATGATGCTGGGAACCTGGCGGACAAGGATGGTATGTATTGGTCTAAATTGTGAGTACTGATGAACTACACGTTCTCTACGTTGATATGCTCTGAAATATTTACTCTGCACAAAGTACTAATTTTAGTTTTAACTCGGGGTTAAATAAAAAATCTTTAAATCTTATCGGAAATTTCATTTTTTTGTATACAGTACATTATACTAAAATTTAATTTTGATGTGCTTTGCCTTGCTGTCAGTCTAGGAATGTCTAATTCTAACTAGTAATGTGCTTCAGTTTTCCGCTCAATGTCCCCTCTTGATCAGGTCTCCTGATTCCCTGCTCCAGTTTCCCTGATCCATAGAGCACATGCTGCGAACCTCGCGCTTTTTAAAATTTTATTATTTGTTTTTGATTTTTACTTTATCTGTGGTTCATTATTAACTATTTATTCTAGAGCTCCAGAAAACTTGGGCAGATCTTCTCCTATAAGTCACATAGTTTTTACTATTCTTTGGTCATATAAATCAAAATTAAATTAACATATTATGGTTAGCCCGTCCTCAAATTTGCTGAACAGAAGTATGTTGTAACGGTCATTAAATTCTTAGTTTATGATCCCTCCGAATTTTCGAACATTAAGAGCAACTTCAAAGGACCTTCATGGCAGTATTCCTAACATTTTTTTCTTTTTTTAGGTTTCCATGAAGTAAAGGTGATAAAACTAGATAAATTCCTGGTGCTGAGAGTACGGAATTCCGACTTCTGGCGGGTACTCTATCTCTACCCCGTATCGGGCACAAGAGATTCTCTTCTGGGCGACCTGCTCGGCTTCATGATGTCCACCCACTCAGACTTTATGAAAAGCGATGGGCCCGCCTGGTACATCTGCAGCAGGGCCTACTTCCCAGTAACGTCGGAAGGCGACCGCTAAGTGCTTCCATGCGAGTAGTTAATGTTGCAACAGCAACAATCACAGTGGACAAGTGCATGTCCGCCAACTCAATTTTCAAATTCATTTACAAACGCTGGGTTGAATTGTTAGATTTGTTATTTTAGACAATAAATATTTTTGATTAATTTGTAATTGTATTTATTTTGTTTTTATCAAGGGCATTTCAATTTGTTCTGCATTCGTCCGATGTGAGTTGATTTTGTTTAATTTAGTTCCCTCGCTCAACATAGCAGATTCAATTTCACAAGAGGTGTAATGTCTTAAGTTTTTGGACCGACTTCGGTGGCTCAGGGCACAAGAATTCAGGTCTATGCATTGCCTCTCACCGGGCGGTCTTAGGGTTAGCCACGACTGCGACAGGACTGCTCTGATCTGTATTTTCCGTGATTTCTGCGACACACTGGCGAATGGTGGTGTAGTATCCCAATTGGCGACGGATGGCGCGCGCGACCTTTCCTTCCTCTTCCTTGTCCAATGCTACCCCTTACATGCGCACGCGCCTCTCCATACATACTTGCCCTTCACTATCACACTTGTTGGAAGAGCAATCGACGGATTAGAGCTTGTCCTGTCTGGGGTGGTCCCTCCCTCACTGATAGATCCCTGGTGGAAAAAATCAAGCTGACGGTTAGGTCGGCCCTGGATCACGCCTAGCGAGGCAAAATCGCCGCCCTCCCACAAAACGTGCATTACGCTTACGGGACTGTCCTTGGCAGCTAATGCTCCCGGAATCTATGTAGATTTTTGGGTACAGTAGTGATCTAGCAGAATAGACCAGTTGGTTTGAAACTACTTTTCAGTACTCTTACTTCGTGAACTTCAGAGAAAAATTAAAACGTTACTAAATTCGATTATTAAGCTCAATTATCAAGGTTAAGGCATTTCTCAAGTTGCACAGGTAAAATAAATTTATTTCTAATTTACTATTTTTGTCCCATAATTTTGTTCCATAATTTTCGCGCACATTGGTGTAGATATAGAACATTTACCTTGGAGTTATTGCCGGATCTTGTTAAATTATTTTTCAATTTTGTGATTTTTTAAAATTTTGAGGTTCTATTTTTTAACTTGGGCAATAGGGTATTGCGTTCGAACAGATTTATTATTAAAGCGTGTTTTTTCTTGGCAATATTTAAAAAACCTAAATGGTCAAAATATTACTTCAGCCCGGACGACCATACACGAATGGTATGTGCCACCGATAATACTTTCCTAACTATTTCCTTGAAAACACGATTACATGCTATCAAATCATAAATACTCCCAAAAATATTTTATCCCTTATGTCATTTTTAAAATAGTGTTATGGACTTACTGTGAATATAGAGAAAATGTCCTAAAATTATTTTTTGTATGATCATATATCATGATCACTTACCTAATCGTTAAGTATTATTTCGGTTAATAGAAAAGAATTTTATGAGGGAAATGGCAAAAACCTTCAGACATTCCTTTGGTGCTTGGAAAGCTAAAGAACCATGTCCCTAAAGAAGATTCTTAGTAGTCTTGCAGTTCTGGCGTATACAGAGGAAAAACTGTAAAGGCTGTCGGCTGTCCGGGTGACACTTTGTGACAAAAAAATTAAATCTCTCATATTCAAGGACCAACAACACATGGTTTGTGACTCCACTGTGTTAGAGGAAGTAATTTACTACATATAGGAACAAGATTTATCGTCTTTCCTATATCACAGCCCCACTATACAAGTTTTTCTGTAAGTATGTAGTAGGGAAGAGAGTAATAATCACTAAACAATCAATCAAATCCTTAATCAAAGTTAGCTCTTGTTTGCCACATTTTGCATTAAAGTACTATGTAAATAATGATGCACACCTAGTTTTATTAGCCTTTCTACCTACAATATTCATTTTTTTATTCTTCGTTAAAGATCTGATACTGAGAGCTTTTTATTGACAAGAAGGAATTATTGTGATGTTGTTTAATCACTGAAAAGAGAAAAAATAGAAAGTTTCACCAGAAAATATCCAGAGAGCAAAGTAAGAAGGAAGAGCTTCTCAGGGTGTTAATTGCATCTGACCCACCTATTTCAGAAATGGAGTAGAGAACAATTGTAACAAAGGTATTTGACCTAGACGTTACATCAATGTAAATGCCTTTAAGTAAAAATTCACTTCTGGAAGACGTATCACATCATGAAAATTCTGATTCTGAAGTCATATGATTAAATATTTGACGGTTAAACAATTGTATATTTCATTATGTATTATAAAAACTGTTTTTCTTTATTTTCAAAAATCCCGAAATTGCTTAAAATACTGTTTGCCAACTTTTCCTGTCTCCACTGTGCGACGGGTAGGTCCGCGGATCTCGCCGTCCAGCGAGGCAAGACACCACCATCTTCCGCGATAAAGTATGCACTACGCTTACGGGAATAATTGTCTTAGTATTGGACGCCCCCGGCATGACTAATCAATAGTTCAATTGGGCAAAGTTGTGCTTATAGTTCGTTTTATAACTCCAGAACTATTTCTTCACTTGCGGCTGTTTTGCGCGAGTTCGATGTTCGATTCCCGCGCACGATGGGCACTGGGGCTATGGTTTGCTGTTCCTGTCGTGAGTAACCTACGGCATTCCAGCCGCCTTCGCCGTGGCACTGTGGTTTCTGAGACCAAAAAGTATTTTTTTAACTTTCACAAATGAACTTTCTGTATACTTAAATATTGTTAACTTAAAGAAAGTGTGTTTCAAGAGAAAAAAGCTTTTTGTACACACCTGAAGTGCTGGAGCTTCTTTTAGAATACAATTTAAGTAATAATCAGTATTTGAGTATAAGAACAATTTACGTAATAATTTAAAAACGAAACAAGATTTGAAACATAAATATAGTGTAGTATCTCTCCTGACTACAAGAAGATTTGTAAATTGTAAATTTGTATGTAGATAATCTACATATAGACCGTTACTACAAACGATATAATTACGGAGATTCCTTTACAAAATATTTTGGAACACACATCGAAACGAACAGTGTTTTTTACAAAATATCATTTACCATGTGGACTGAGTGCTAAATGTTATTAATGTTCTTGATATTAATGCGAAAATTACATGTAGTTACAGTTTTGAAGGCATTTTGGACTTATCAATGCATTCGCAATAGTTCTATATTTCTGGCAGTTATTCAAATGCTTCGTTTGCAGCCTCTCTGATAGCACTCCGTTTGCGGATAAGAAAAGAGACGTTATATAAAAATTCAGAATTACCATTAGGTTATTTTGGAGAAGAGAAGTCATAAATAAGAAATAAAATGTACAAATATTATCGATAGCATCGGGCAAGAAAGAGCTACCGGCAGAATAACTTAGAATACATTTTAAATAAAGCGATCGACGCTTCAGTTACAGTGAATTCTAGCATTAATTTAAAAAATAAATCAATGATAGCCAAAAAAATTAAATATTCCTTCTGAAATAATAGCTAGACTGACAAAGAACACAGAAAACGCAGACGTCACAGAGAAGAGAATGATGAAAAAGAAGAAGAACAAAGTGAAAAAACCGAGATGAGATTTGAGAACGATACAAGTATTTTGAAAGATAGTTTAATTCCAGCAGGCTGCAGTATAATTGGATAGTGAATAATAGGAGATAAGTTGGTACGTATGAATTTAACGTTTTAGTTTTAAAAAAATTTATTTTTGACTTTTTAACATTTTAAGACAGAATTCTGCGTGGCCTTATTGTTTTAATGCGTGAGATGCATTAACACTCTATACATTCTTCACAATTTACGATTATTAATTGTGACCAGGAAAATGGGTCTCGGAAACCATAGTGCGTAGCAGGGAAGTTTGGTTGAGATATTTTTGGGAGAGATGCCCGGGTCCGCAGGCTTTCGAGGCTTCTGTTTATTTTCACGATTTAATTTTCTCTCGGACACCCCTCCCCTGGGAGAATGGCCACGCCGGGTTCAAATGCAGGACTATGCTTTACTACCTCACGATCCACCCTCGTACTGACATTTCTCACGGCAGCGTAGGGTTTGTTTCTTCCCTTGTGGGCACCCACGCGCATTCCAGGCACCTGGGGGAAAAAGACACTTGACACAAATCCAGGGCGATGCTTTACTACCTTGCAATGCATCCTCGCATTGCCGTTGGAATATCCCACGTCGACCAATTCCTTCCACCACTTTCCCTGATCCTTTTTAAGCAAATGCTGAGACTTGCTTTGCTTCCCGACATAAATGTACTGTCACTACCTGTGTACGTTTTCTTGACATCTAAAGAGAATTTTGATATTCAAATAATTATTCATTTTCTCTCTACAATAAGTCGACTCCTTTCTGTAAAACTCTAAGGGCAATGGCCAAGATCTGTAGCTGACTTGCTTTAGCAGTGAGTTTTTACTAAACGGGCGAATATTTTGTTACCCATTTTCCGAAAACGCTCTTGCTACTTGTATTCAACTTCATATAAATATGAGGTAAGTCAGATATCGCATAACTCAAGAAACCGTTTACAGGTTTCACCATATGTGACCCCATAGTACGTCTCACAGTTTTTACCTGTTTTGGATGTTAATTAAATAATTAAAAACGATTAATTAAGTAAAATGAAACCTAATTAAGGCCAAAGTTACTTTTGGCTGTGTACATGTTGATGACTGACTCCAGCCTTTGACCTTCGGTCTACATGATTAACTTATAACGCTTTTGAGTCTGTCCAACTCATAATTCCAACAAATTTCATGTCAAATGAATTTGTTGCCTAAATTTTTGTTAGAAAGAGAAAAATAGGGAAAACGAATTTAAAGTATTTAAGACAAAGATAATCAAGGAGACATATAGCCAGCAAAATTAGTTTCAAGTAACAAATAATATTCAACAATTTATTTAGTTTGAAAATAATACAATAACAATTTCTGGGATTGATCATCCCTCAAAATTTCTGCAAAAAGGTTATTTTCTTTTCTGTTCTTTTCTTTTTTTCTTTTCTTCTTTCTTTATTTCTTTCTGTCCTTCTTTCTTTCGGTCTTTCTTTCATTCTGTCTTTCTTTTTTCCTTTCTTTCTTTTTCTTTCATCCTTTCTTTCCTTTCTTTCCTTCCTTTCTTTCCTTTCCTTCCTTTCCTTCCTTCCTTTCTTTGTTTTTACAGATTCTTGAATTTAGCTTTCTCCTCATCGTCACAAACCTCAAAACCTCACGAAATTCTAAGGCGCCATTACCAGGATGTTCCACTACGTACGTTTGAACAACACTCTCGTTCCCGCGCGTTCCTGTCTGTCGCTCTTCCGGTACGTTCTGTGATTTCGTAGCGACTTGACTAAACGGACTTGAGTAAACTTGAGTAAAAGACGTGAGTAAATTCGGGGACGGGGGCAGGATAAGGATTCGTCTCATTATTTGTTTCTGAGCTTATTTGTTCGTAATGCTGGATGGCTTCTTCTACAAACATTTTAAGAAGCTTCCCGCGTTTGTATCCCTCCATTACACCGCCCCTCTACCTACCCCTTCCCCACGCGTATTCCCTTTAAAATCCCTGACATTGTGGGGATGCAGAGCAGTCTGTTGTCAGTCCGCGGTTGCAGTCGGTCGGTACCAGTTAGCGATGCAGCGATTCCCGACTGTCTGTGTGGTGGCTGTGTGGCTCCTGGTTCTCTTACGTGGCGGTACCGTGCGTTCTGATGGTATGTGTGAAAAAATATTTTCGACTAATTTGTAATGCAATAATGTCGCACATTTTTATCTTTTCAATAAAGACGGCTCAGTCCGAAGCGTAATCGTATGCTGCATGTTCAGCTCCCAGGGGTTTAGCGTAGGTGTCCGAAGGGCCTTGCTATGCTATGCCATGCCGTGCCGAGCAAAGCTCTGACCCAGATTATCAAGGAAGTGTGCGTCTCGTGCCTCATTATTTAATTTAATTACGTTGCATGGCTACTCGGTTTACAGATGTGGTGTAGAGCTTAAGGTGTTCTGTTAATTTTATTTTTTTTGGTCTTTCTTATTTAACAACGCGTAAAGTTTTTTTTTTCTTTCTTTGCGATAATCTTCAATGTTACAATGCATAAAAGCCTTCTCATTAAGTATTATGAAGAATATTTTTTTTTTTTTGGAGCATTGTCGGTGATTGCAGTACGGTTAAAATGTCTATTAAACAATCGTAAAACTCAATCTTAACTCTGAAGATACAATTGTTAGTATTGAACTGAAATTTTCGGCTGCAGTCTTTGATTCCTTTACTTTTACAATGTTTTAACTTCGGAATTTAAAAATATTACTTTGGGAACGTTGAATGGGAATTTTTTCCGGAAAACAAAAACTAATTCTTAATAACAAAGGATGGAGTATTGCCTTCATCTGTGTGCATGTGGGTGTTAGTTCTTTAACTGTGTGCAAAGTAAGAGGTAAATATCAATCAAAAATTAGACTGTTTTTGTGAAAATATTTATCGGATAGTCTCTTGTCGAACTTTTCGTTCCAAAGAAGGTTGACAATTCTTAGGATCAAATGACTTCTGGACAAATGGTGTTGGCATTGAAGTAGAAATGAAAGTTCATGGAGCCTTCACAAGTATCATTTAAATGAATTTGTCCGGATCCACTTAGATACGGTCTGAAAAAAGTATTGCAAGAACAGTAGAAAGTCTAAAACAATCGACAAATTTCACCCTTCAAAAGAAAATCTGGAAAGGAGAGAGAAAGAAAGTAAGCTTTGTATTAGATGGAAAAAATGCAGAATATTATTCATTCTGAGAGTTTGTGCTATTTCGTAACTGTTGGAAGTTATTTTTAAACGGAAATGGCTTCGACGCTACTTCATTTCAGTTGGTTTGAATCTCGTATTTTCTCGCTACAGGTTTAGAAAACGTTAATTGCCACTTGTCGGTTAAGAAAATGCTTCGGTAATATCTTTCACTGGATCGCCAGCAACATGCGAGCACATGCGGTATAATTGTCAATGATAGGAGAGTGTAGGGGGAAAATTTAAAAACGTTCAATACTTTCCAACTTGTACGTGTACGTATAATTTTCAATTCGCTTGGTTAAGCTATATAACTGGCTGCTTTCGTATCTCTCTTTATACGATTAAATCTCAAAGTTATTTTGGTTATAGTTAAGGGTTTAATTTACTAAAATTACGTTACTACAAATGGAATTAATATGCATTATTCTGTAGTTTACTAGGCCCGCCAGGAGAAGTAATCAGACAATTAATTAATTGCAATGTCTTTTCCGCAGAAACGTGTGCTAAAAGTACTACTACCAAAACAACCACAACTACAACCACGACTACAACTATAACCGTTGCACCGACTGAATGCAAACAGATACCGACAACGACAGCCACGCACACGACTGAAACTGTTCCTACACCCACGGTGCCTCAAAAATGTGGGCCCAGCGATTCTGAAGTTTCAAGTGCACAGGTGAGTTTCAGCTGAGAGAACAAAATGATTGAACATTTTGTTTTAAAGCGCGCAGCTTGAGTCCTTAGTCTCGTGTTAAAGTGCGAATTATAGTCCGGGAGGTGGCAGTTGTCGTCCTGTAATAAAAAAAGGTGAGATCTGACGTTAACCAAGGTCGGCTAGCGTGCTTTCAACTATTGCAGGTACCTATGCCCGCGGGGACCGTCTAGCCGGAACGGGATTTAAGCCCCCCGACATGTGATAATATATTGTGTGTGTAAAGGAGGGTGGAGGGAACATGAATAAGGAAGGCAAACTCGCGCGTAATCCACGGCTCTTTTGTTAAATTACTGCTAAGACCTTCATCTGGTATTGATCTGTGGTAACACGGAAACGTCCCTATCGCAGCAGCAGGTTGATAATATTCTCCTTTAGGCAACGGCTAAATTGAATCTAGCTATGTAACTAGTGTCGAAAATTAATCTTTCGAGGCTGGACCCTAGTATTTCCAGATCAGAGCCACTGTAGTGTCGTGTTGTTGCACGAAGGCATTGCAGGTGGATGTGGGAGCAGGACGGGGTCACGTTCGAACTGTGTAATTATTTGCTTCTAATGGTTGCGCAATTGAGACAGAATTGAAGCTGATATTTCAAGAAACATTTTAAATGAAATAATTAGAAACATTACATTGCTTGAATATTCCATTGGTTGAACATTCCCCAAGATTTACAGCCTTTATCTTGGCATACTCGCGTACGAATTCGGCTGCAGTCTCAACTAATTTGAAATACTTTCACAGATTGACCATCTTTACATTTATTTTTTAATTGTAGTCTGAACTAGTCAGAATATTTTAAATATTAACTACACCCCACTGATAAATAATAAAAATATTTGAATTTGCTAGTGTTATTTTGCAATAACTGATTAATGCGATTTTACTCCATAGAACCCTTTGGTTCTATTTATCTTATTCTATAGGCTGATGGATAAACATAAGACGAATTCTAATTTGCATGGAACACTGTTTTACTGCTGAAATCCAGACTTCGAGTAACCTGTTACATTAACGATACGGAAATTAAGGCTATATTGCCTGAACTATCAGCTTGTTTATAGTGTGGGATGTATATAGTTTCTTTAATGTCACACCTGCACATCATAAAATTAAGATGAATGAATTTCTTTCGGGTGGTAGAGCGTGAAAAGGGGTCTTTAATTAGTCGTCTTTCGTCCATTTGAAAGCTTTTTCTAAAGCGAGAAGATTGCGGTGTAATGAGGTGAATAAATTCCTTCTGCTTCCTCTAAAGCGAGGAGCTACTTTGCTTGCCCTGCCTTCCAGATCAGAGAAATCTCCTCCCTGGTGTTAACCCTTAAATTATGAAGAAAGTAGAAAAACCTCGGCTCGAAAGAACTAGCGGTTGCCGAAACTGTGAAGCTTCTGTACCTCTGTACAGATTTTAATTCCTCTTGTGAGCTACCGAAAGAAATCCAGAAAAACAACCAAATTCTTATTCTTTTACAGGAAGTCCAACTATGGGCCGCCCCCCCATAACGTCTAAAAGATTTCAGATATCGTAAGATTTTTCACTCGTGAATGCGGAATCATGAAGCTTCTATGGAAGATGCAAAGCTCAAATTCTGTTTTGGACAGATGTTGATTTTAACACAAGGATATTTGTCTAAATTTATTGGATAAAAAAATAACCTGGTAAAAAGTTGGTTATTTCTCAGACATTTATAAACAATATAATTTTTACATTTTTCATTCTACCTAAAAATTGATCCGTTAAAATGTTTCACATGTTAGTGAAAATAAGGAAAAATATTGACTTCTCTAAGATTGATAGATGCTGAGAAAATGGGTCATAAATATTATGGAATTTTGCGTTGCTGGGATAGGAAATTCCTAACCCCCGTAAAAGACTGATACTAAATTTTCAGAGCCTATTTCTTCGAATGATGGTGAATTGAACACGACATCCATGGTTATGGTAACTTAATTATCTTAATTCTCATCATGGGTCTTCCACGTTTATAGATTCAACATTAAGTGAAGATTCTTATTCTAAAGTTTTTTAAAAAAATCTAAAATTGAGCTGAAACATTCTAGTATTCTACGTATAACTAGCGACCTAGTTTCGATAAATGCAGATGCCATTGCCTGCTGTCAAAACAGTTCACGTATTTTCTATACAGTATGATGGAATTCGCTAAAATTTCTTCACACTGCCTGCAGATGACACGGTCTATCTTAGGTGTTTGACAAAGGGTATATTAATGATCTTTTAATTTTCAAGGTTATTTACGCTCCAATTGTATTTTTCTCGATATGATGTACGGGAATTGAAATATTTTTCCAGTTACATGGAACATGGAAAGTGATGGCTGGTTACTCCAGAGAGTTAGTCGCTAATGCTTTCTGCCCGGGTCTCACCTTGCACGTTAACCCTGTCGACTCAAAGAACATGACGGTAACTTGGAGCAAAGCAGAACCATACGAAAACATCATTCCTCAAGGAGAGATGACCATGAAAGATAATGGATATCTAGTGGACAATGTAGGTAAGTTCCTCATAGTATGCTGTGTCGAAATTTTTAATTCGTAAATTACTGGCTCTAGATACTTTTTGCTTTGTTAGTATAAAATATTCTAATATGAAATGGATTTTCAATTTTTCCCTTACGAAGTGACCACTAAATGCTGCTAGTACGTTAGAAACTGTCTACCTCAATTTGAGATTTCATAAACTTACGGTAGCTTGTTCCGTACTGTAATACCGTAATGATGCCTAGATTATAAAAAATATATTAGTCTATAATATTTATAAAGGTACGGGTTAAATTTAATAACCTTTTAACTTCAAAAAAGTGATTAAAAGCTAATAATTAAACGAGTGTCTTTTTCCTTCCTTAACAATCGATGGAATTTTTCAAAAACTTTGTCCGCTCACAAGGTTTCGCTTAATTAATTGGATATTTTTCAAACTTTACTCTCGTGGAGTAGTGGATATGTGGACATAAAGTGGGAATATTGTTTACGAAGTCTTATAATTTTTGAATAAAAACGCGAATTTAACGTTTTATCACGAACATACCAATTTAAACATTGAGCTACACACGATTAAAACAAAACACGCGAAACTTGCATAGACAATAAAAGCCTTTCTTCGAAAAGTCTAATTGTCACGTAAATATTAATCATTTAATTAAAGGGTACTTTTCGTTTTTTTTATGAAATTTTTATGCATTTTTAAAATTAATGTAATATTTTGATGTGTAATATAGTTTTTTTTATTTGTATATTTTGAGATTACTTTGAATTTTGTCTTTTTTTCCTCTCCAATGAGTAAATTTTTTCTTGTAATTTTAACTGCAGCCCGGGCCATGTACTATTTGACTACCTATTGTAATAGTCAATGAACTCGCATAAAACTCCTAATTTCTAATATTTAATGCGTCAAAATAAATGTAAAAAGTTAGACAATAATTTAAGTAATTTTATTAACATTTCGTCTTTCGGCTAGGTTTCCACGAATTGAAAGTGATAAAGCTGGACAAGTTCCTGGTTCTGCGCGTCCGCAACGCCAACTTCTGGCGCGCGTTCATCCTGTCGCGCGTGCCTGCGTCGGACGCGGATGCGGACGCGGCCGAGGACCCGCTGGGCAGCCTCCTCGAGTTCATGATGACCATCAACTCTGACCTGCAGAGCAGCGACGGCCCGGCGTGGTACATCTGCGCCGAGTCGCTTCACGCGGGGAAGCCGGCGCAAGTCGACCGCTAGGCACGGCAGACGGAGCTCCGACAGAACAGTGGCCTCGAAAGCGAGCATCTCTATTTCATTTTCAGTTTGCGTACTAAATTTTATAAGAAATGGGTCGTGTTGTTAAACAATGGTTTTCATTAAATTTGTTAAGACTTTTATACAATAAATTGTGTGAATTTAATTGGTTCTTTAATTATTCTACTTCGTTATTCTACCTATACAGTGGCGCAATCGTTAATATCCTCTGGGGGACCTATAGTTAGTGTCCACCAGGCTGGTCTTAATAATTGTGCACGTGACTGCTAACTTCTAATCTTCGTAAACTTCAATCTCGCTGTTGTGGCAAAGTCGGGTGACGTATAAAGTTGAATTATAAATACCAATACTCGTTTTATTTCATTTGATGGTCACCAATTCATCAGGATGCTAAAGATTTTTAGTTGGTTAGAAAATATTCGGTGGAGATACTAAAGTCTTAAGTTACACTCAAAACATTGTAGAAAATAAATTTCAAGGTCGTCGATTTCTAGGCAGGGAAGGGGTACCCAAAGCACCCCCCTCTTGTGAGTCGCTGTAATTACGAATATAGAACTAACTGCTTATGAGACTTCTGCTTTTTTACATCTAAAATCTGTGAAGTTTTAAGAGATTTGCAATCTGGGAATCTGTTGTTGAGCTCTAAGATTTTTCCTAACTTGTTTACGTATTATGTAGAAATATAAATATCAACATTAAAGAGCGTTTTTGGTAAAACTGGTTCAGAAATATTTTTTCTTCATACGATAATTGCTAATATTTTTTTGTATCTGCTACAGATTCTGGCTCTTATCACTTATCTCGTCCTTCGTGACTGAATAGGAATACAGCAGCATGGACGTGAAAGATTCAAAGAACATTAGTCACTGATCTCGAGGAAAACTTGAAGTGTTATTTATGTTTAGAATCAAAACCTAAGGGCCATTAATCATTTGCTCAGTCGGGAAAACTGTAAAAGTATATCAAGATGGGAGGGGTTGGGTTATAGACCCAGAAGCTGAGGTACAGTTCTTAGAGGAATGGGTCTTCGGAATTGTATAGTCCAGATCGTAACTGAGTATAGATTGTGAAATCAATATTTAGTTTTAATGCTCAATGTAGTAGAAAGTTATAAAACGGAAAATTTTACTCGGTATTTAATCTTGTGTACGGATTACAATCGCAGATGGGAATGGAACATTCACTAAACATACTGGCAGTATGAAGGCTTACTGAAAAAATCTGAGCCTGCATCATAATAAACTTGTTAAATTTGTCATTGTCATTAAAATGGTCATTCCAAATGTTTGAATTGAAGGATCCAAAAATATTACCTTAACACCAATGAGCAAATCATTTTCAATCGAATAAACGGGCATAAACAAACGTGTATCAACACTTGATGTTCATAATGGATTACAACAACGCTACAAACGTTATAACGATCATTGTTAAACATACACCTAGTTTGTCAATGTAGTGGGACTGTTATCTTTTCAATAACCTTGCAAAAAAGGCTTTTCGAACCAATCGTGTGTGTTTTGCTTCATTTCCTGTGGGTCTGAGGCCAATCTTCGGTCTCGGTCTCGTAAAGCAAATTTAATTGGTCCAAATAAATGGTTATTAGACATGACTATGTCGGATCTGCATTCAGGAAGCTCGGAACATTCTATAAAGGAAAAACATTGCATCCATAACGTGCTGATAGTCTAAGAATTTGACCTTCAGGTGCACATTCAGATTTTAAAAAAATACACATTACCAAAGCATGTTAGCTGATCCGGTGGCAGAGATCGCCAAGGCAGTAGTGCCGTATCGATCTCGGAATGAAGGATCGTGGGTTCGAGTCCCGCCTCGGGCATGATTGCATTGAGCTCGTCCCTTCACCTCCTATCACCATATGTCAACCTCGGTTACCATACAGTTACAAGCAATAGTGGTCGCCAATGACCTAGAAGTTGATGCGGCCTTAAATAAAAAAGTATGTTATTTTTGGTGCAAAACACATTCTAAAGAAGTCTGACACTGGTGCAAGCGGAAAGTGTTATAGCAAAGTTACGTCACAAAAGCTCAGAACATTACGTGATAACGCTGAAACTTACCGTTAGCAAAGGGAACTACGTCTCAAGGCTGCTAATTCTGTAGTTATCCTGCAGACGAATAGAAAGTTCATATATTTAGACTAACTCTCGTACAATTGTTGAAACGGAAAATTACATTTGAAACTTTTCCTCTTCGAAGAGGGTATTCACGCACTTTTCATCATATTTCACTTTACTTTTGATTTATTATTTGAGTGCAAAATATCATAGTAAATAATTTTAGCCTCATTTTAGCCTCATTTATTACCTTTCTAAACAAGGAGTTGTATTTTTGGATGAGGTGGAAATAATAATATGCGTTTAGAGCCCAGATTTCTATGCTGTAAAAATACCCAGAATGAGCCATGTAATATGCACGGTTAATAATTAAAATAGTATACAATTGGCGAGGAAATGTTTATTAATAAAACGCAATGCAAAAAAGTTGTAGAAACAAAATTAGTTCTTAAGACTGTGTATCTTCTTTAAAGGGAACAAAATAATCATTGATTGAAGAATATTTTCAAAATAATTTATTTTTAATTATTTTAACTATTTAATGGAACCTATTTTTCTTGTCCCCTTACTTGGTAATGTGATGGAGTTTTAAGAAAAAAGTACATAAATTCATTGAACAACGAACATTCTATATTAAAATACAATATAGGCTTTCACGGCCGGTTTTCATATCAAAATCAGTTGTTTCCGGGCTTGAAGGCCGTGGTCCAATGGAGACATGTCCAACATGTCAATTGGACATGTCTCCATTGGACCACGGCCTTCAAGCCCGGAAACAACTGATTTTGATATTAATTCTATATTAAACTTTACGAAAACATCATTTCTAAATGTGTTTCTAATAAAACTGGTTTGTCAATCAATTCAGATGTTATATGAATAACGTAATGAATACATAGAATAGAGAACATGAATGGTTTATTCATTTCAAGAATTGTTATAACTAACAAGATACAATATAAAAATATGACAATGTTGACAAGATGAAGATGCGAGGTGAAAAGATTTTGTTTTTGAAAATTTAATTTATCTGTTATAAATTGAAAACGATCTCTCCACTTCTACGGGCGTTGTAGGACTATTTGAATAATGAAATGATCCGTGGATCATTCTACATTTTTACAGTTGATCTAGTTACTGTTCTCTCAGTAGAACATGATTAACTTTTTTCTGAATACATTAAGGCCACTTTTTTTGACAATATCGGCTAGTTTTTCTTTTAGGGCTCTTCCATTTTCACGTGGTATATTAGCAATTTTTTCAACTATTTCATGAATCAAAACAACTTCCGCGCAATGATAAATTCTTAGTTTCTAGTTTTTTTACTGACTTCCTATGAAACGATAAGTGGCAATATATAAAACTTAACATTTGTGACTTGTGACTTATAAGATAACCAATACCTTTCTTTAAACTGTTTCATTATCATCTAAAGTTATTTTTGGACCTCTTGAATTTTAGAGCATTGTCAGAATAAAAAAAAATGCAGCATTCCACTAAGTACCCCAATTCAAGCAACTGGAGCGATGATGTTTCATCAATTCCCTCTTTATTAATTACGACTATGGAGCTTGGTGCTTCTAACAATAACTTTTTTCTGTTATTCATTAATGAAAATATTTCCGGAAATATTTCCTAATATTTCCAGCAAAATGATTTATTCTATGTACTGCAACACACCCAATTTCCCCGTGTTCACCATATAAGGTGCTGCATATATATTTTTATAACAATTTTAACCCGTCATTTACAAAGCCACTAATATTATTACTGTCATTTTACCTTCCCGGATTCATACGTGTACACTGAGTAATATACGTATTATAGGGAATGTTATCTAATGCTGCGGAAAATCTATTTCGAAATTTCAACGGAAATACACGGTTTTGGGTCCCCTGATACCGAAAAAGGGGATCCTCCCCCACAAAACGTCCGTCTGTCCCAGTCAGTCTGTAGACACCACTAGCGCCTAAACCATCGATCTGGCTGAACTCGAGGCGCTGCAACTTTGCTTTCTTTAAAATTTAAAGGTACTTTCCATGAAACCCCTGAAATTTTCAAAATTTTCTCAAAAACAGCTTCAAATTATTTCTTTAAATTTCTTGTGAATATAGAATAAAATACACTTTTTATGGTGACATAGGACTGATTTTAAGGGTTAACTCTTGAATTTTCAAAAATTTCAAAAGTTAGAAATTTTACAACTACAAAATTAAAGATAGAGATTTTTCCTTCAAATAAAAATATTGATTCTCCAAAGTGGGTTCATTAAGATCGTGTACATTTTTTTTTGACATTTCAGTAGTTTTCGCGCAATATTTCGTGCAATACGTGCAAATTTAAAAAGTAATAAATCAAGATTTTCCCAAAAAAGCTCCAAATTTCATCTCTAAACTTTTGTTAAGGATAATGTATTCTACGATATAAGATAAATATCTGTTTTCTCTATACTTTTGTTTTTCAAAAACTACAAATATGTAATTTTTTACTTTCCCTTGCGTCCTTAATGTTTACATTACCGGTAATTGAGAGCGTAGGCTTCCGCGGCCGGAGTCAGTAGTTAATTGGCTGTCCGGGTGACGCCACGTGCACGGCAAAGATGCCGACGTTTCGGTCGCCATTCTGCGACGAGGCGTAATGCCTGAGGAAGGTCGCAGAATGGGGACCGAGCTGACTCGGTAAATCCCGCTTGAATTGAAAGAGATTGAACGTTATTTTGCAGTATGTGAATCTCGCAATTACCTACACTGCTTTTCTGCTGCATGTAACTGTAATTGCTATATAATTTCCTCCATTTTTACCCCCGAATTAGAAAGAGGTAACCTGTGACAAGTTTTGAGGAAACTACGGCATCACATGGAGAGGAATTAGTGTTGAGAATGACAGAATCGGGAGTAGGTACATAGCGAGGGGAATAAGAGGGATCGAAAAAAAGTGGAAAGTGCAGAAATTAAGAAAAGAAGATGTTTTTTGCAGAAAACTACGTGAGAGTCGAGTGTTTGACGTATTGTGGCAGGAGTGTTTTTTTCTCTTGTTCGATGGATCGCAATGTCAGGCGAACGTGCGT